CTAATCTTAACTCTGTGTAGTTTCTCATTATCATGGTCTAAAGACCCACCCTCAAGCCAGTATCTAATCTTAACTCTGTGTAGTTTCTCATTATCAGGGTCTAAAGACCCGCCCTCAAGCCAGTACCTAATCTCAACCCTTTTGTGCAGTATTCCACGTCACCCATATGAAATAAAGCGAAGAAAAATCCCACGGATTTTTATTTCACTCCCGTTGAGCCAGACATCTAAGCCAGTGGAATATAATCAGGCTCAAGGGAGGAGAAGAGGATGGCGAGCGCGGATCCACCAAAAAGAGAGCGACAGCTGCCCCGCAGCGAACTAGAACGGCTACTAGAAACTATACAGGACGAAATCGATACCCTAACGTCGATGAACCTAGATGAGGAAAACGCGAATTACGAACCAGAGCAGCTGATCCAGTGGTCCAGAAACCTGAAAGATAAGATGATTTCGTACAACCGTTGCTGTAAGCTTCTGAAGTCGACACTACTTCGGCAGGGCTGCAGCGCCGATCTGCAACTTGCCAAAGATAATAAGCGCGGTCTTCAGGAAGACTGCGCGCAGAGCTTAGCTTTCATTAACGAGCGCTTAAAACAACTTAACCACGATGGGGTCTCATTCTTCCATTTCGACACTTCGTCAGTTCGATCGGGCTACTCCCTCTCTTCGCAACTCGACGAGTCGATATACCCCCAGCGGTCTCAGCCGATCGACCGGACAACCCTGCAGTCGTCGAGCTCACAGCGTACGCTCCGCGTGAACCCAAGCACCTCCCCACACCTACCCTCTCCTTAAACACCTTGCTACGAACAAACCCCATCCATTCCACACTAGCCCCTCTAGACCGATTCCACCCGCACCTCAGTTCTGTACCACCCTCTAGCTCGAAAAACTCCCCCACTGTCCATCCGGCCGCCATCCCATCTACAGCTTCGAAACCCCCTAACTATGGCCCAAACCTCTCACTTTTACCTTCTTACTGTTCTATCATAGTTCCCCAACACCTAAACGGACCGTCACCCTCGCTCGGATCGTACACGCCCCCGCACCCCGACCTAAACCCACGGAATGTTCTTCTTCCCCTGTTCCAAGCCAC